TAGAAGGTCACAGGGAATATGCAGGGAGACAATAAGCAACAAGGGAGGTGGGACATGACTTAGCAGAGCTGAGGAAAGATGAAGAGGAAGAAAGTGGGACTCCATCACAGACACCTATCCACATGGAAGCAAAGGAGATGAGCACTGATTAAAGCACAGTAAGAGGCACAAAGGACAGGAGTAAGGAAAACGAGCAAAGCAAAATGGAAATGAACAAAGAATCACAAGGATAAGAGGTCCAATGGGTACTATGGGGAGGGGGGAAGGAAACCAAACATGAATAATGTAGTGGCTCTGAAAAAGAAAACCAGACAAATAGAAAAGTGTATTTTAGCGTCATCATAGAATATAGCCGTCTGTCCCAGGAAACACTGATACAAAACTATGAATAGTCTAAGTGTCATTAGACTTTGAAGGTAAGAATCTTTTGAGCATCTGATCCAAATTTCAGGCAATCTTTTATTAGGAAAACATCAGATTGGCCTCAGAGTTCTTCAACACTGATATTTAATGAAGCAACTCATAGAATAGCCTTGGAGAAAGAAAGCGTGAGCCCAGAATTTTATACCAGCCCAACTGACATTCTAGTACAAGGACAATTATCAGTGGGTTTTTACTGTATTTCAGAAAATATAATTCCCACAAGCCTATCTCAAAGAGAACAAACTTGAGGCAAGCAAGAAATTATTTGGAGAAACTGGCAAAAGACCTATAATGAACATTAAATAAATTTTTAGGACTTAGGCTAAAACAACTACAGGAATTAGAGAGCAAAATGAAATGTTATAAACTAATATAACGTAGGAATGATACAATAAAAGTTGAAGTGGGATGTAAGAAAGTGGAGTGCAGTGTAATTATGCTGATTTCCTCATCTTTTAATACCCAGGGATTAAAATATTTCACTTACAGCTGGTAAGTCACATAATAGGAGTATACTCATAAGTATAATTAAAGGTTTACAGGCAAACATCAGAATGAAAAACAAATAACAATTAGCTTAAGTGTCTTGGTGAAGGAAAGACAAAGCTAAGATAATGACCCACACACCATGTCATCTATAACAAATGTTATGACTACAGTTAAATTGCTCTGCGGTCTTTGGTTGTTTGGGAGAAAAACAATATGATGATCTCAGTAGATGCAAAAATAGCACTTGGGTCACTTCAACACCTCTTCATGATGAAAACTCCTTAGAAATGAGGACAACAGAGAACTTCCTTAAGCTGATAAATGATACCCATCACTTGCTCACAAACATCAAAGGGGAGAACTTTGGACGTGTTCCCATGACAAGCATGAGTAAGACGAGGATGCCATATTGATGCCATAATCTCATATTGATTCCTACTTGGTTTTGTAAGATCCACCCAGAATATTGGAAGGAGAAGGAGGAAAACAAGGCATAAAGATCAGAAGGAAACAGACAAAACTGTCCTACTGTCGGATGTCTCATTTAGCTATGTTGCTATCCAGGCACACTATACAAATTATTATAAATAATAAGAGTGTTAGAAAGGTAGCTAACTATAGGATATATCTTATAAGATCAATATACTTTCGATGATATCCTTTTATAACTTGAATTTTGTACCTTGGGCACATATCGCCTAGCAAAACTCTTACTTTAAAGTTGTTCTTCTTTTCAAACCATGTATCATATCCTATTCATGTAAAACGATGTGTGTATGTTTGTATGCATTAAGAGACGCTGAAAAGACTGGTCACCAAAATGCTACTTTCTTAGGGATCATTTTCTTAGTGCAATGGGGAATAGGTTGATTGGGGTTTCTCCTTTAGGTTGTTTGAATTATGTTGCACTATTTTTGTAATAAAAATAAAGCCATTTTTTGTTGTAAGAAAATAAGTAAAGAAACCCCTCAAAATAGATATTTTTAAAATCTCTACATAGTTGGGCCCAGAAATCTCTCATTTTTGAAGCTCTACTGCTGACTCTGATACCACATTGGGGAACCCCAGGGGTACAAGTCATAATCTAATCACCACCTAAATTGCTGAAACGAACTCCTATGGCCCTTGCATGAAACCCAAAGGAAAATCAGCACAAAATGATTACCAGCCTGCATTTCAGAATCAGCACAACATTGGGCTCATTTATTGATACAGTTGCCCAGCTGACCAGGCATCAGCCAGGTGCTGACTTCCATCATGGCCGCCTCCATCACTTCCTCCCCAAACCTGAACTAACCCCGTTGTGAGTATCCTGGGCACATTCAGGGGCAGAGCATGGCCTCTGCGGGCCTCCCCCTATGCTTGCAAATCCCCAAGAAAATGGCAGAAGTAGATACTGCGAGAGCTACAGATATGCCCAAAGAGCAGTGGAGGCAGGAAATGGTGCACAGTGTGTATGGCAGTTGTTTTGTCTAAGGACAAGTTGCTTAGCTCCTGCTGTCTTCCTATGGGTATCTGGGGAAAGTTCAGAGCACAGCAAAGAGCAAAGGCACCTCCAATAGATGAATGTGTCTGGGGCCTTACTACGCCCACACTCCCAGGGCGATGCTGGTCATGAAGCTTCCAGGCTGTCTTAGCATGCCAGGGCTGCTGTAACCAAGTACCGCCAACTGGATGGTGCAAACAACAGACACTTATCGTCTCACAGTTCTGGAAGCTAAAAGTCCAAGATCAAGTTGTCGGCAGGGTTGGTTCCCTCTGAAGGCTGTGAGGAAGGGTCTGTCCCAGGTCTCTGTCCCAGCGTCTGTGCTTTGCTGGCTTGGAGATGCCTCATCCCATCTCTGCTTCACGCTCTCATATTGCTCTACCCGTGTGCTGTCCAGGTCCGAATTTCCCCTTTTTGTAAGAGCACCAGTCATATTGGATGAGGGACCCACCCCACTCCAGTATGACCTCATCTTAACTAATTACACCTTCAATGGCCCTGTGGGTTAGGACTTCAACAAATGAATTTTGGGGGATACCATTCAGCTCACAACACAGCAAATGATGCTCTCTGTATTGTGGGAGGCCAAGAGAGTCTTACCATAAAAGAATGCTCCTTGTTTGTGGGCTATCTTGATTTTTCATAGCTGTACCAGCCCCGCAGTCTCTGCACTCACCATGGGGGGCCATGTGGTAGAGGGAACTTTGGTAGCAGATGCTGCATGGGGCTCTGGTTGAGGGTGGCGGTGTGGTTCACATGTATGTTATTTGTTACTACAGGTTATATCGAAGCTGCTATCATTCCCGCCGGAGCTCGGAGGATCCGTGTGGTGGAGGACAAACCCGCCCACAGTTTTCTGGGTAAAACAAAAAATGATTTGACTCACAATTTATGTTCTGAGAATTGATGTGGATGATGAGGCTGGCCATTCTGTTCAGTATCATTCTCCCAGACCCTTGGTTTTATGCTACTTTAGGTGGAATGATAGCGGGAATCAGAGTGGACCAAACATATTTGGCTACCATGCAGCCACCCCCAAGGTGGGGGAGGGGGATTGGTAGGAACTGCCAGCTCTGGACAGGAAGGAAGATGGCAGTAGAGTGAAGGAAGTTGTGAGGACTTGGGGTAGAGCACATCCCCCAAAGGAACCGCAGGAGAGCTC